AGAAGGGCTACAGAAAAGCCCAGTGCACCGCAGCCCCGCAGCAGGCTGGGACCACCACAAGGCAGCCAGAGGCGCCCAGGTCCCCTGGTGCTCTGCACTCGAGATCTCAAACCCCTGGCTGGTGGTGGGTGGGCAGAGAAGTCTGTGTACTCAGCGGAGGTGAGGGCGCTGCTTCGGGCGTCAGGCCCAGCCTCATTCCCTCTGCTTCTGTCTGGGCATGGCCTCCTGTAGCTATGGGCCCTGCAGAGAGACAGACCCTGCTCAGCACTGCCCTGCTTCCCACCAGGAGCCTGGCCAGGCAAGTGGCCCCAGCCTGATCCCTCTAGCAGCCCATTCATGTCCTGGACACAGCAGAGCCAGAAGCGGCAGTCAGTGGTTCCCTTTATTTAAGGAAGCTTTGCAAAGAGCCCACGGTGAGCGAGATTCCTGCAGCCCGGAGTGTGCAACAGGGCTGCACTTGCTGGGGTGGGGGACCTGGCTAAGACCCCCACTGCCTGTATGAGGGGCACAGTGATGGGTGAAGTAAGAGACAGAAGCAGTGTAGTAACGCAGACGCGGGAGGGAGATTAGTGCCTTGGAACAGGCAAAGGCAAGGCCCTGTCTGCAGGCTGCCGTCCACTGCCCACATACACACACACACACACACACACACACACACACACACACGAGTTGGGGCGGTGCTTCTGCACCAGGGTGGCGACCGCTGCAGGGCGGTGAGAAGTTCCAACCCGGCGTACAGGGCAGGCCAAGGACAGCTTGGTCACCCTCTAGACTCCATCTACAACTTGTGGCCCCGGCAGGACAGTGGGCTCTCACCTTCCCGCGTCCTGGGCCGTGGTTATCTGCACAAACACAAGCCGCCCCATTTTCTCACCTCCCGGGACACGGCTGGTCTGGGGCTCTGCAGCTGCTCAAGGACTGGTTCTGTCCACCTCCTCAGAGCTGCAAAAGGGTTGTGCAACTCCAGACATCACGTCCGTATTCAGCAGGATAAAGAGAAGGCAGACCACTACGAGGCTGAACTCGACAGACTAAGTAAGAAACCACTGACTGGAAAGAGGTCACTGGCCACCCTGGTGGTGGAGCCCTGGTGGTGGAGTCTGCAGGCCCACCCTAGCCACAAGCAAAGCCCCACCCACAACTCCAAGCCCCACCCACAACTCCAAGCCCCTCCCACAACTCCAAGCCCCACCCACAACTCCAAGCCCCACCCACAACTCCAAGCCCCACCCACTCGCGCACCAACCCACACCTGCACACTCCAAGCCACGCCCACATGCATCAAGCCACCCTGGCTTCTGGTCCAGGCCCTGGTGACACTCTGTCCCCGTAAGAATACATGCCTGTCCTGGGCCCCCTGACAAGGCGACTCCCAGCCACACTCACGCCGTACCCCTGTCATGTTGCCAGCTTCTGACTGCAGCCCTCGACCCGATCCTCAGCTGTCGTCTCTCCATAGCTCGCCGAGTCAATCAACGATTCTCTGCCCGTCTACTCTGCTCTGCGGTGGGGCTGGAGAAGTCCTGCACAGCAGGCTTGGGAGTCATCCACTAGGTATCTGTTTCTCCTTCCTGAACATAATCCGTCCTCTCTCCCTCATCAACGTGACGGATTAGGATCATGCAAGCCCCAAAAACCACAGTCTCTGCTTCTGCAGCTCCTCAGCACTCCCGGCAAGCAGCGGCATGTGACCGGTTCTGGCTATGTGGACTTCTGCAGCGGTTCTGAGAAAGCGCTCTCCTGACACAGAAACGCAGTTGGTGCCAGCCTTCCTGAACTCAGATGCAGCGCATGGAACCACAGCAGCTAGTGTGCCACAATGAGGCAATAAATTCACAAAGCAAATGCAGCAGAACGCAGGGCCTGTGGTTATGTCGCTGACCTGAGGCCCTGATGACATCTACCCTTCAACGCAGTGTGAGAAAAAGAGCCCTCGTACATTCAAGATCCTGTTCATCGGATTTTATCCCCTGGGCCAGGAATAGCCTAAACTGTATACATGGTGCAAAGAAGGAGGGGCTCAGCCACTGAGCCTTTGCGGTGAGAGTGGCATGGGGTGGGCCACGACGTGCCCACGGGGTCTCCAGCACATCGGGGCAGGGGAGGAGCTGCTCCGAAGAGTCTCACCAGGTCATGGAAAGCCAAGCGTGCCTTTCTGTCCTGCCCTTCCCGAAATGCCAGCCCGTCCAGTGCCCCTTGGTGAGCGCTGTCTCTGCCCAGCTGGCACCGAGCCCTGCCCCACCCACGCCCCGGAGTGCCGCCTTGCTGGGTCTCTGACCCTGGCCAGCTTCGCCCAGGTGTCTGTACGCGGGCAGGGCAGGTCAGCGCATCAGCGTAAGGCCCAAGCCTGCTGCCACCTGGCTGTTAATTATTAACAAGGCAGAGAAAGGGACACCAGCTCAGCAATGCCAGGACTGAATGGTGGCTCAGAGTGCTCCATGCCAGCCCAAGGAAAGCGGCGCAGCCGTGCGGGCTTAGCTGTGATCACGCACCCGTGGTCAGCACTGCAAGGGAGGGATCCTATAAACCCTACTACGGCTGAGAGCCTTTGCAGGGCCATGCCGGCACTCTCAGGAACAGCAACACAGGAAACCCGGGCCGCGGGGCCACGAAGGCCACGTCGGCCAGACCAGCATCCTGGACTTCTTCCGCACTCCCAGGCTCCGCTTCTCCCAAGGTTTGCAATACGTAGTATTTGTTACCCTATTGGGGAAAACTATTTTAAGCCTAATTAGCATGAAATTTTTAGAATGCAAATGCTTTTCATTTAGACATAAAACAAAATGCCACGACATTTCTTCCATCCATTTATCACAAACACGTTAATTACTGCGTAACAAATCGCTCCTGCTGGAATCTGTACCCGGCAGGGCTGCAGGCAGGCTGACTCAGGGCAGAGCCGCAGAGGGGCCCTTACGGCCCCTGGAGGTTCTGCCCTTCCAGTGGGTGCCCCATTCTCTCCTCTCCATTCTACGCAGTCATCCCCTAACTGAAACACCGGGCTTGTTTGTTTTTGACACAGCCATCCTTGATACGGTCTTGAAACTGTGAAGTTTTCTACACACAAAGAAATGTTTGCAGGTCCTGGCTTGAGAACGCCGCAGCTTCAGTTTTCTGCCTCTGTGTGTGCGTAGAATTACTTCTAAGACATAAAAGCATCCCTTTGCTCCTGAGAGCGTGCACCCCAGCAAGAGTGAAGGAAGGCAAACCAGAGGGGTGGCGCGGACCGATGGGGGACACACAGTGTGACTGCCGCCCACCCGGCAGACAGGCAGAGGACCTGGACCCCAGATGCTGGGGGCCCCCCAGTCCCTCCCCAGGCCAGGCCTGGCTGGGCACGGGCAGGCGCACCTCAGGGTTAGCAGGTGTGCAGGAGCCCATGCAGCCGCAAGGCCACAGGCAGCCCGGGCTCGCCCAGGACGCCGGGGCTTCTTGTTCTCACTACATGCCTGCCTTGCTGGCCTGGGGGCCAGGCTGCCATGCCACCAGCGACCCAACTGCCACCATACCCACCGGGGGCAGGCACACAGCCTGAATGGGACCCACATGTCTGTGGGGACAGAGCAGGGACACCTGTCGGAACCTCAGGCCAGCTCAGAAGGTATGAGGAGCTGAAATCCTCCTGGTCACAGCAAGTCTTTGCCATGACAAGTGTGCTTCCTTCTGTCCCCAAGGACACTGACGGCTCCAGGGTCTTGTCACATTTGGCCTTGTGCTCCCATAGGCCCGAGGGGCCGCCTTCAGCACCACAGTGAGGAACACACAAGCAGGAGGGCTGACCCGCAGCCAGGACCGGGGCAGAGCTGTGCCGGGGCTCGAGGGCACCCGAGCTCGCTCTGCGGGACGAAGGCCTGGATGGAGGCCCACCTCATCCACCCCAACGCAACACACGCACACAAGGGGCAGAGCAGGCCTGAAGAAGCCTCCTCAGGCCCACCTGCTGCGACAGTCACCGAGAGCAGCCTGGCAAGTGGCTGCTTCTCAACATCAACAGGAGTCAATGGTATCACAATTCAGAAAACAAAATTTAAAAAGTAAGAAAGTTGGATTCAGTGCAAAATAAAAATGCTAATTCACATAACAAGGAACAAACAAGAAAATCAACGAGCTCCATCTGGAAGGGTGAGAATCTGGAAAGTCACCCACTCTGTGTGAGAGAGCTTACACACACACACACACACACACACACACACACAATAGGAAGTACTACCAGCCCTAGAGGGAAAGTCTCCATCTCCCAGAACACACAACTAGGGACCAAGTCAAAGCCTGAGGATGATTTAAGTGAACGATGAAGTCCAGCTCTGACATTTTATTGAAAGTCAGCTCTCCATCACTTCTGGGAAACTGAGGCAGTGAGGGAAGGCATACGGTCCGACTCTGAGACCCCAGGGAGACCAGAACTCATTAATTTCCTTTATGCAAATATAAAGTTTAATTAGTTTGTCCTGAAAGGGAAACAGATCGATGCGCAGAATGATCTATTGTCTCCTGAGTTCTGCAGCCGCCTCCGACCTGCCCGTGGAAAACGTGGCCATGGCTCTGCAGACACCACGAAGCTAATTGGTAGCTCCCTTCCCGTGTGTGTTTTCATGTTGTCAGTGGGGCAGTAATGAAAATGAATGCCACATTTGCGAACAGAACGTCTGTGGGCTTATTTACTGCATTTCCAACAACATCGTCTGCTTTATCATGCATTTCAAAGCAGGGATAATTTAAGAATCCAGAATTTCATACATAAAAATACTTGGTAAGAAAGTCTCTCTGCACATTATTTGGGTGACGTTACTTCCGAATTCCAATTTGTTGCCCAGGAAATGATTCACTGTAGTCCAAAAGGACAGGGATTCTGCATCATTCACCTTGACGCCAAGCATCTCTTAGGTGCACCCAACTGCACCTCACTGACGCCCTCAGGACCAGCATCCGCCGCCCCGCCCAGCCCCGACGCCCCAGAGGGCAGTGCGAGTGCCCCTCCCCCTCCTCAGGCCCTGCCCTACCTTGGAGGAGCTTCTCTCCCTGCAGAATATTGGGGGAGATTAACGCCGTGTAATCTTCCTCAGAGAACCCGGCTTTGCAGGTCTCTCTGTCTGTAAGATCCTCATTATGGGCCTGAGAAAGACGAGAGGTAAAACAAAAATAAATTCGCAGACATGGAATCCAGGCAGTAAGCACAGGGGCCTGCTACATGCAGGTCTCTGGCGGTGAGAAACGCTACGGATCGCAGACTCCACCCAGAGGTGACAGCCCCAGGCTCTGGTCTTTGGGGGTTCAAGTGGCTGGGGCGACCTCTCCCAGCGCTGGATAGAGAGCCATGCTCCATGCTGCAAGCGAGAAGCCTGGCCAGCCTGGCTGGGAGGGCTCTCCGCCCCACTGGCACCCGCAAGGAACCAGGAGAGCTGTCCCATAGGCAAGCGGAAGCTTGCGGCCAGCTCAGGAAACCCCCGGGGAGGTCCTGCCCAAGCCAGCTCTGCCCAGAGCCTTTTCCCTTGGGCCCCTGGGCTCTGAGTGTAGGCAGGAGTCAGTGGCAGGCTGTTTCTGCCTGCTTCAGGCTGTGTGGTGACGGAGAAGGGACGACAGAGAGGAGGAAAGGGGATTTCTAGGACTCCCGAGCTAGCTTCTCCAGCTCCACGGGGCTGCAGGGTGGAGCAGGGGACAAGGAGGGCTTCCACCCTCTGTCCTCCCCTGAGGCTTTCCCTAGACACTTGTTCCTCTGTGCATCCCAGCTCCTGGCCAGCTGGAGGGTGTGAACCTTTCTGTCCTGGGCAGCTCGCTCCTCTGGAAGTCCAGAGCTCCTGTGAGGCAGGCTGGGCGGCAGGACCCTCCCTGGCTGCAGGGAGGAGGGGGCGAGTTAATGCGCACAAGTCAGCCCTGCCAAGGCAGAGGGAGCACAGCAGTGCCCCAGCTCCCGGCGAGCGCAAGAAGCCCCGGGCGCAACCTCACCCGCATCGCGCCTCCTCGGGTGGAACGCGCCTCCCGCAGCTGCCTCCTCCAGCCTTCAGCTGCCCGCCCGCAGCTCCGCTCGGATGCCACGGGGTGTGGGAGCCCCTCCATCCAGAAGCGCGGGGGAGGGGAAGACAGGGTGTGGGGTCTTTCCTCCGAAACAGCTTCAAGCCGTGGTTTGCTCCCCGGGAACAAAGCTTCAGTGGCACTCGAAGACCCAGGGAGGCGGGACTGGCCCGGGAAAGTTTCGATCTGCCCGGGGCCGTGTGCCCCAGCACCCTCCAAAGCCCTGCGGCCTCAGGGCCCAGCTCCGGCCGCCCGCACTTCTTTATTTCTGAGGTTACCACAGCGAGGCTCGGGAGGAGGCAGCGAGGCCGATCGGCCACGAGAGGGGGTCTCTGCAACTCCCGCGGCCCCTCTGCCTCCACCCAGGGGCGCCCCGGAGCGGCCGCACACACCGCCTCGCGGGCCCGGCGCTCCCCAGGCGAAGAGCGGGGCTGCAGAGCTCGGCAAGAAGAAGCCGGGGCCCCGCTCATTCTCCCGGGGCGCAGGCCCACCCTACGCCCGCAGGAGCCACGCTTGCCGGTTCCTCTCCAAGTCGCCAGAGCTCTGCCAGACGCGGGCTCCAGCTCGCTCCGAGCACTCGGCGGCGGGGTCCCGGCGGTCCCCATCGGCCACCACCGCAGCCAAAGTCCTACCCGCACGCACAGCACCAAGGCGGCGGCGCGCCGCGCTTCCCGGCCCCGGGCAACGGGAATCGGCCCCGGCCCCGGCCCGCTGTTCCCCGGCTCGCTGCCCGCAGCCCCGGCCAGGCTAGCCAACTCCGGAGCGCACGGCTCCCGGGCGGTGGAGGGCGCGCCGGCTCCACCAGTGGGCAGCCCGCCCCGGCGCCTGCCGGCCGAGCTCCGGGCAGCGGCCAAAGTCCTACCCGCACGCACAGCACCAAGGCGG